TGGGGGGGTGGGGAGAGTCTGAACTGGCCTCCCCCTCCTCCAGGGGCATACATGGCTGACAGATCCTGAGCAGAGTGAGTATGGATGGAAGGGGGGGCTACTGAGGTGCCTGTGTAGAAACTTGTGGGTGAAGCCCGCTGGGGCTGGTACAGGAATGAGTGGCAGTTTCTCAGAGGCATCTCTCTAGGGCCGTCCAGGTGCCAGGGGAATGCAGCAGGACAGGCTCTCTGGCATCCGAGGGCTGGAGCAGCCCAGGACAGAGGAGTTGGCTCTGCAGGCTCAGGCACTAACCTCTGACCACTCCCCCCCCAACTTCCCCCAGGTCCGGTGGATGATGTACTGGATCGTCTTTGCACTCTTCATGGCGGTGGAGGCCTTCTCAGACATCTTCATTTCCTGGTATGGGTGCAGGGGCCCTGTGGGCCGTGGGAGGGGATGTCCCACCCTCGAACTGGCCCTATGGCTGACCTTGTCCCCCTGTGCTCTGACAGGTTCCCTTTCTACTATGAGATCAAGATGGCCTTCGTGCTATGGCTGCTCTCGCCCCACACCAAAGGAGCCAGCCTGCTTTACCGAAAGTTTGTCCACCCATCCTTGTCCCGCCATGAGAAGGTACCCCAGGGGGAGCAGGGATGAAGCGTAGGGATGGGTGTGAGGGAAAAGGCCCTGGACTCAGAATTCAGGACACTGGGGGACACCTAGGTTCCAATCCTGGTCTGTGGGCCCTTGACAGAGCCTAGCCTGCTTCCTCTTCTGGGATAACCCAATGGGGGAACACCTGAGTGGCCTTTGAGAGAGTGAAAAGGCAGCTGGAAGTGGGTTTGGGAATGCGGGGAGGAGGCTGGAGCATGGCTGTTCCTTGCGGTGTGGGACTGGTTGCTCTTGGTGTGGTTGCCGGCCCACTATGGGTGGGGGTGGGCTGGGAGGTGTGGTACTCAGTGACTTCTGTGGGTCTGCAGAGGAAGAGTGACTGGGACGGTCCTCTGAGCTCTCTGTGCCCTGGTCCGTAGGAGATCGACACCTACATTGTGCAGGCCAAGGAGCGCAGCTACGAAACGATGCTCAGCTTTGGGAAGCGAGGCCTCAATATTGCCGCAACAGCCGCTGTGCAGGCTGCCGCCAAGGTACCCTGGGGCCCAGCCCTTCATCAGACTCCCACTCCCATCCCCAGTGCCTTTTGGGCAAGTTCAGCTCTCTGTCAGTGAGCCCAGAGGTAACAGCTGTCCATACCAGGGAACAGGGGTGAGAGGTGACAGGTGTTGGCAGAGCATGGAGCTGGAAGTTCACACTTCCTGGCTCTGACACTGACCGTGAGCAGCTGCTCCTGCTCTCTACGCTTTAGTTTCCTGGTAGTGCCACAAAGACCTGGGACTAGAATGTTGTCGATTCGCCTTTGCCCCAGTGATTACCTTCTGACCAGCCTTGGTTTCCCTGGGCGGCTGCCCTGGCTAAAGGCCCCTTCCTGCTAGGAGCCCTGGCCCTCCCTCAGGTGACCTGCCACTCCCCGTTCCTTGCAGAGTCAGGATGCACTGGCCGGAAGGCTGCGTAGCTTCTCCATGCAGGACCTGCGCTCCATCCCCGACACCCATGCCCCCAACTACCAGGACCCCCTCTACTTGGAGGACCAGATGCCCCGCCACAGGCCACCCATCGGTGAGTGGGCAGAGGGACTCAGAGATGTCCTAAGAAGGCTGGCTTCCCCCAGGGCTCAGCCCAGGCCTTCAGACTGTAAATGCCCAATGTTGTCCCCTCGGCCTCCCTCTTCTCCACACAGGGTACAGGGCAGGGGGCCTGCAGGACACTGACAGTGAGGATGAGTGTTGGTCAGACACAGATGCAGTGCCCCAGCCGCCACCCCGGCCCCGAGACAAGCCTCTGAGCCGCAGCCAGAGCCTGCGTACGATCAAGAAGAAACCACTGGTGCGAGAGGTCAGTGGCAAAAAGACAGGAGGGAGGTGGGCTGCCCTGGCGCTTCAGCCTGGACCTCATGGTGCGCCTGCTCTCTCTCCCACAGGGCACCTCGCGCTCCCTGAAGGTGCGGACAAGGAAAAAGACTGTGCCCTCAGACATGGGCAGCTAGGGTCTGCAGAGCCAGCCTAGTTTTACCTCGTGCTCTACAGGGCGCTGGGGGCTGTTTGAAGGGGCCCTCTGGCTGCACGTAGGGCCTGCCTGCACCAGCTGCCCAGGCTCTGCCCTCCTGACTCCTGCTGTTGGCGGCAGTTGCCGCTGGGGCCATGCACAGGGATGACCTGAAATGTACCAAAGCCAGCTGGGCCCAGGGTTCTATTTATAGTCTTTCTCATTCCTCTACTTTCGCAGGGATGGGACCAGAGCCCTCCCCAGACCCCTGCAAATGAAACCAAAGCCCACCCAGTTGTGTTCATTCCTTCCTGTCCTTCAAAGTACTTGACAGCCTTCTCCAAGGCCTCGTGTGTGTGTCCTGGTTGTGTGTTTTGTGTTGGTGAATGAGGTCAGGTTTGTGCAAGATTTGATAAATAAATATGTAACAGTGTCCTGTTTCTCCTGGTTTGTATCCCCAGTCTTCACAGCGTACATTATTAAACAGCTTAGGACGAGGGCTAAAGGACAGTCAGACTGCCAGAGGGGCCCAGTCTTCTGCGGGAGACAACCATTGATAAAGAACTGATGTGACAAGTGCTGTCATAGAAAGCTGTTGGAGACCCTTGAGAACACATATGGGAGAGCAGGGGGCTAGCCCTGAGAGGTCAGAGCCTAAGAAGACTGCAGTCAGGAGGCGGTGGGCTCAGCCTTGACTCGAAGGTGCACTGGATGGTAGGTGGAGAAACCAGTGGGAGCGTAGGTCTGGAGGGGGCTTGGGCAGCACGATGTTCCCGTAGGGATTAGCTGGAGCTGTGCACAGAATACACCCGGGGAGTCTGACTTCCTTCATGGGCCTGGGGAGGCTGACTTCCTTCAGGGGCACCTGGGCGGCTTTGAGTTTCTGTAAACACTCAGTTAACATTGGGAGCATTGCACCTCTGTAGAGTGGCCACTAGAGGGCAGCAGCTGCCAGGGTCTGGGCTGCCCCCAGTTTCCAGGTCAAGGAGGGTGGGGCTCAGAGAGAGGCTGGCCAGAGATGTGCCCTGCAAGGGCCTGGCCGCTGGTTGGCTGGAGGGGCCATGCAGAACTCTGGCCTGGCCTTTGGTGGCCCTCCCTACTGCTCCCTGCTGCTCAGGTCATTGGTCCTCAGCCTGCCCCATCCACATGGAGTCTCCAGTGTTGTCCCCGACTCAGGCTCTGTGCCTGGGCTGGCTCCTCTCCATCCCCTCCCCTCACCCTGGGGCAGCCAGTCAGGCTTTGCCCTCTCCTGCCCCCGAAGCTGGTCTCACTGCAGTGTCCCAAGGCTGCTCCCCTCTCCCACCCACGCCTGCTTTTCCTTACCTCTTTTGATTAAGCAAAGAGGTTGGTGAGAGTGTTGGGTGGAAAGAGGGGTGCAGGGGTGGTAACCGGGAGTGATCTGAGGAGTGTGGATTAACTCTTGGTGTGGGATTATCCGGGTTTTATTTGGGGGAGGTGCTTAATCTGCGGGAGTGGGATGGGGGTGGAAGTTAGCTCCTCACATCTTGGTGTTCGGTGACATCCTATCTTGGCATTCCCTTGCATCATAGTGTTGACTTATCTCTTCATTTATTCATTCAAAACATCTTTATTAAGTATCTACCAGGTACCAGGCATGTTGCCAGATACTGGGGATGCAAAGTCTAATATTGGCTAGCACCGGGAACGTGACCACCCCAGCAGGTGCTGCTCTCAGCCCCTGACATATTAATGTAATCCTCACAGCAATCTCATGAGGTACATACTATTATTATAATCTCCATTTTACAAATGGGAAACCAGGCATGAGAGGGCAGGTAACTTGTCTGAGGTCACACAGTAAGCGGCAGAATTGGGCTTTGAACCAGGCAGTCTGGCTCCAAAGTCAGTGTATTTACACGCTGTGCATGACTAAAGTAAATGAGGTGTTTCTTGCTTAGGAGGCAAGAAGGAGACTAGGATGTATCAAACATTCGTGTGCACCTGACCTTGTGCTGGGCACTTGACAGCGATGATTTCCTTGACTCTTCCCGACAAGTCTGAGGTAGTAGGTTATACTCATTTTACAGATGGAAAAACTGAGACTCAGAGAGGTGAAGCAACTTGTCCACGATTGTGCTACCCGTGGGTGGGGGTCGCATCTCCTGATGCAAACCTGCCCAGAGTGGCTTTGGTAGAGTGGAATGGCAGGACCCGCACCTCTGAACTGAGAGAACAGAACAGAGGATCATGTGATGACTAGAGCAAAAGGAAGCAAAAACTCCAAGGGAAGGTGAGCTGGGGGAGGCCTGGGGTTGTGGGGGGTGAGGGAGCTCTCATGGGAGTGGGGCTTCACCTGCCTTCATTCCTGGGAGGGGGCCTGAGAGTGAGCAGCAGAGTCGCGTGGGCCCCTGGGGTGACGGTGATGCTGTCTCAGGTCGGTGATCCCCACCTTACTTCGCAGCCTCTTTGCCGGCCCCCTGGCCCCACCACGCCTGCCTTCAGCCATGCCGCTCCTATTTCTGTGTCCAGAGCACGTCACACTCATGCCAGCACCAACCTCCAGACCTTTGCTCCTGCTGAGCGAATCTCTGGCCCTGCAAACGGTCTTTCTTTCCCGGCCTGTCATGACCTTCTTCAAGACCTGCCTTTTCTGAGAAGCCTCCCCTGACTTGGGACCCCTTCTCGAGCTCCTAAGCCTCCCGGTCTCTGGCCTGCTCACCCCGTCCTGGGCATAGAAGGCTGTGGGCTGTGCTGGTGTGCCCATCGCTCTCCCTTCCCAGCCGGCCTCCCTTACACTCAAATTGCTTTGTGTTCTCCACCTCTGTCCACCTGGACTGTCACGTGGCTCCATGCTGGTCTCCTGACATGCTCTTCCTCCCCCACCCCACTCACTACTCTATTGCTCTTTGCCCTTTGAAGCACACGCAGACCTCCCCTCCCCCAGGAAGCCCTCGAGGCACCCCCTTGGAGTTGAGTGCTCATCCAGACCACACCATCTCTGTTCTTGTACTGACTTCTATTTTTGCCTTGAGCACATTGTATTTTCTCCCCTACTGCATTGTAACTTCATAAAGAACAGCCTGGCATCTTATCCACTTCTGTATCCCAGCCAGGAACAAATGGTGGTTTAGCCAAAGTGAAGTACCGTCATGCACGTGAAGGCCCACTTATTCTCTGGCGTCTGAGCTTGGGTGTCTCCTCCTCTGAGAAGCTCCCCTGACTCCCCCAGGGTGGGACTCCGAGTGCCTCGTGATCATTCACACACCCGACTCAGGGGGTCACCCATGGTTCTCAGCACAGGGCCTGCTGGCGAAGGAGCAAATGCACTGACTGCGCATCAGCTCCTGGAGGGCGGGATGGCCTTGCTTTCATCTTGGTGCCCGTGTCTCCTTGGTGCCCATCACAGACCCTTGAAAATGGCAGGTCTCTATGACACATGTTTGGCAAATGGCTGAGGCAGTTGTATGGGTTCCAAGACATCTTGGGGCCAGAGGGGAGGGCTGAAGAGAATTCCAGGTTGTGGGGCATTGCTGGCCAAGCACACGAGTGCTCCTGAGACTGGGGCATTGGGTGTGGGCTGGACTCCCCTCAGCGCCTGCCTGTGCCCTCTGAGGATCACGAGGCATCTGCCACACTGCCTCCCTCTGCACGGTGCCTTTACCCTCTGGCCTGGCCCCTAGGGGAAGGCGAGGCTGTGCTCTGGCCTGCCCACGACCCCCAGCCGTCCATTATCCATCAGTGTGCCCACTGCCTCCCAGGCAGGATTAGGGCTGGCCTGAAGCACAGATGTGCCAGACTCGCTGCTGGGCACATGGGCACGGGGGAAGCAACCTAGTTCAGCCCCCTGGAAGGCACACACCTCTGCGTGGCCCAGGTGCCAGCCCTGGTCTCCTCAGGGGGGCCTCCCCGCCCACCTTGCCCCTGAGGGCCTCTCCATTGCCTTCAAGTGCCCAGGGCGGGTGTCCTTCCCTTCCCGCCTCCCCCTGCTCCACCTTCCCTGGACCTTGCATTTGACTCCTCAGTCTCCCTGCCTCTCAGCCGCTCTCTCTGCCTGCAGCCCCTCCATGTCTGGTCCCCCTTCCCCTGCAGCCCCTCCATGTCTGGTCCCCCTTCCCCTGCAGCCCCTCCATGCCTGGTCCCCCTTCCCCTGCAGCCCCTCCATGTCTGGTCCCCCTTCCCCGACTCTGGCCTCTATGTGTATTTTTAGCTGCCACTCTCAGTGGTGGCAGCATAGTTAGCCCCTCGTTTCAACACAACCCTGGCCCAGGAGTTGAGTTGGGGAGTCCTGGCTGGCACTGCCCCACCCTTGAGGGGGTTGAAGAGATGAGCACTCAGGCCTTCGGCCCTAGTTCCCCATCCAGCACCAGGGACTGGTTTGCCCAGTAGTTGGATAGGGGGGCAGAAGCCGGGCACGAGGAGGATGCCCTCTGCCCAGAGTTGAAGTCGCTAGGTCAGGGGCCCTGAGCAGGGCAGAAGGGTAGCTTTCTCTGCCAGGTGGTTAGAGTGCCCTGAGGGGAGGTGGTGGGGGGAGAGGGAGGGACGGAGGGGAGGCAAGGACTGAGAAGAGAAATTAGGTCCGGGAAGTGGGTGGGTGAGAGGGGACGCAGGGGCATCTGCTGCAGAGCTTCCTTCAGGCTCCAAAAGCATCTCCACACTTCCCTTTCTCTCCCCTCCTCCCAGGTCCTGGGAGGATTTGCCCTGTACTCCCCCTCCCCCATGCCCCCGCCCCAGGCGTTGCCACGAGGGTGGGGGGTGGGGTGGGGGGAGGCCTGCCTCAGCTGTCTGAAGGATGGAGGGGCTGGGGAAATAGGGCTAGGTGCCCAGACGGCCGCGTGTGTGGGAGGGGATGTCCTCAGATGCCCTCCACCCGGCAGTCCCCGCTCTGACGTGGGTGCCCCCCCTCTCCCCGCCCGGATTAGTGGCAGCTTGGCCTGACTCTCCGGGGCTCCTTCCCCCGCCCCCGCCTGCTGCCCTCCCCTGGGCAGGGGGCTGCTCCACCCGAGGGGCACTGTGCTTGCCCAGGTAAGGGGCTCTGGGGACAGCGTGAGGGCACTGGCTCGTGAGTGCTGCTGCGCTTGTCAGCATGAATGTGTGTCTCCGTGTGTTGCGTGTGGCAGTGTGTGAGGGGTTGCCGTGGGGCAGGGTGGGCCCATGCGTGTCTGGGGGTTCTGGTCAGCTTGCCTTTGTCCACCGACCCAGCACTGTGTCCACGTGTTGTGTGGCTTTCCTTCTGTGTTTGTGTCTTTTGTGCGTCTCCTCAGCTCTGCTCAGTCCTCAGGCTACCAGGGCTCTGTGGGCCTGTGGCATGGGCCGTGGAGCAGGATGGGGTGCTGGGTGAAGGGGAAAAGGGGCTCCTTCCCCGACCTCACGCCCGTGACCCCCTGGGCATTTCAGAAGCCTGTCCTGAGTCCTGGTCTAATCCAGAGACTGTGACCTGACAAAGCAGACATGGCAACTGGGTGGGTGGGGTGGAGGGAGGTATCTGCTCCTGCTCCCCTGGGACAGTCCCCATCCCCTTCGGGGGGATGACAGTGACAGGCCCTTAACACCGCCCCCCCCAACAGCCCAGGCTCCCACCGCCCTGCCCAGCCTCTTCTAAAAAATCTCCCCCCCCCCACCCCCCAGACTCTCCCACAAGCTTCAAGCTTCAGCTGCCGGCGGACACAGATGGGGGACCACAGGCACACCCCAGCCCCATCTGCACCCTGGAGCCAGCTTGGGAGTGGGAGGCTGGGGCTCAGGATTGCAGTTGGTAGTAGACCCTCCACAATCATTGCCCCTGGCACGCTCAGGTCTGGCCACCCCTCAGGGGAACTGGGGGAGGAAGGGAGTGTTAATAACTCAGTCAAGTAAACAACCCCTACCAGCTTGCCCAGCCACAGAACTGGCCTGGGGGGGGGGGGGGCCGTGGGGCAGAGGGAATCCAAGCCAACCTGATCCCAGTCCTGCTGTGGCCAGCCCCTTCAGGCCTCCTCTCCTCCGGACCCTCCTCCTCCCTCAGGTGGTGAAAGGACCCCCTGCCTCCCCTCCAGTCTCCTGGAAGGAAAGCTTCCCTCTCCCGGGGTGGTGTGACCTGGGACCCAGCTGGGCATCGGAGGAGCCCTCCCTTTGATGGGCTGGCGTGGGTGGGGTGCTGCTGCCTCTGTCCTGGGCTGGGTGAAGGCAGGCCAAGGATGGCTTCCACAGGGAGCAGGGGAATCTCTGGGTGGGAGGTGGGTGCCCGAGGGGAAGGGAAGCGCCCGCTGGGCGTGTGGGTTTCTGTGTGTGTCTGAATCTGTCTGTGTGTGTTTGAATCTGTCTGTTTGTGTCTGTGCTCTGGAACCACCCCCGCAGAGGAGCCGGGATGCTTCCTCGGGTGGAGGGTGCCCTGCTTTCCCATTTCCTCTCCTCCTCTCTGTTCCTTCCCAGGAGCCACTCCCATGGGCTCCTCTCCAGTGCTCGGCCTGGAAGCATTAGGAGCAGGGACGCGGCAGACCCCCTGAGTGTGAGGCTGGAGCAGGCGGTGGCGTGGGACCCACCTCCGCCCAGACACTTGGTGAGAGGAGGCCCTGAGAGCAGGGGCAGACTGGAGCCTAGGCCCTCCCAGGACGCCTAACACGGGAAACTGTGCCATTGGGCTGTGGGAGGGGGCTTGGGTCGGAAGGTGAAGAGCAGCTTGGCCAGGTGAGGAGGAGGCGGCGCAGACACCGCCAGCGGCGTGTACCCATGCACCAGAGCTGGAGAGGGCCGGGAGCGTGGTCCAGCAGGCACAGGGCCGGCTGGCGTGGGTCAGAGTGCCCATCACTGACCCGTGAGAACCCGACTGCCCCTGCCAGCTCTGGCACTGCCCCCTCGCAGCCGCTTGCCCTAGCACCCCAGGGGGCACCCCGCCCCACAGTGGCCTGGTCCGGCCCCTCCCGCCCTTTGCTCCAGTTCCCGGGCTTGGTACCTATAGT